TCTTTCTTTCTTTCTTTCTTTCTTTCTTTCTTTCTTTCTTTCTTTCTCTTTTTTCACCCTTCCTTCCTTCCTTCCTTCCTTCCTTCCTTCCTTCCTTCCTTCCTTCCTTTCTTTCTTTTTCTTTTTCTTTTTCTTTTTTCACTTTTATTTTGAGATACGGTCTCACTCAGTTGCCCAGACTGGCCTCAAACTCAGTTTGAAGCACAGGTTTGGTTTGAAATTGTGAGTCTTTCTCCAACCTCTGGAGTAGCATGGTATAGTCCTCAACCACCTAGTTCTGGTCATTTTTAACCATAGCTAAAGACCGGGACAGTCTTTGACTCTGCCCAGCCTGGACTATGAACATGCTCCACCTAGAACCAGAAGACACTGACCGTCCACCTCTGTGAGTGTGTAGGGGTCTGTGAGCCAGCCATCCTCTTTCTGGGCTGGCTGCACGTCCAGGTGCCCATAGAAGCATGCTGTGGGCTTCTCGGCATCATTTCCCAGCTCAGCCAGTATGGTGGGAGGGATGCGAAGACTCTGCCCATCAGGCATCTGTGGGACAGTGGGTCACAATATTAAAACAAAGCAGACAAACGAAACCCTGATGAGGAGAACCCACTCTTCTTCCAGACTGTCTGAACAAGAGTCCTGTCTACCCCTGAGTCCCTGTAAGGCAACATGACATTTCTGAGCAACCCTTACTCCTTCTCTAAAACATATACAATGACTGGCTATGGTGATGTGTGTCTTTAATTTCAGGACTAAAGAGCCAAGGCAGGCAAAGCCCCATGCCTTTGAACCAGCCTGGTTTATAGTGTGAGTTCTAGGGCAGCCAAGGCTGCATGGTGAGGATTTGTCTCAAATAAACAAATAAACCCAAAAACCAAAAACAAAAAGTGTATACCATGATACACTTATAATAACCATATGAAGCAGCACTGGAATTATGATTATCAGTAATTATTAGATATGTAATGCCAAATAGCGCACAGTCTTTAGAAATATTCTTCAAGAACTCAGACCTCAAATGGCTTAAAGTAGCAGATTTTCCAAATGCTGGAAATCTTTGATGGTTCTGAAGTTCTCACTGCTAAAACATTGGATGTTGGATACAGCTCTGCCACCCACGGTAGAACAACAATGGCTCTAAGCAACGGTCATGTGCTGGCTGGTTTTATGTCAACTTGACACAAGATAGAGTTATCCAAAAGGAAGGCGCCTCACTTGAGAAAATGCCTCCATAAGATCCAGCTGTGGGGCATTTTCTTAATTAGTAATTGGTAGGGAAGGCCGGCCCATTGTGAGTGAGCTGCCTCTGGTGTTATGGTCCTGGGTTCTATAAGAAATCAGGCTGAACAAGGGAAGCAAGTCAGTAAGTTTCTGCATCAGCTCCTGCTTCCATGATACAGCCCATCTGAGTTCCTGTCCTGACTTCCTTCAATGATGAATGGTGATGTGGCAGTATAAGCCAAATAAGCCCTTTCCTCCCCAGGTTTCTTTTCGGTCACGGTGTTTCATTGCAGCAATGGAAACCCTGACTAAGACAGGCTCCAAGGAAAGAACACACTCTTCAACTCTTCTTTCAGGAAGCTGCCTGTGCTTGCAAGAAAAGGCAATGGACAGAACCAGTGGGGCAGGTCTTCCCATAACAAGGTGACCCACGCTCATGGCCTCCATTTCCTCCTTAATCTGCCCCAGTCCTGCCATGACCAGAAGTCCACAGCACAGTCTCATTTTGGACTGGGTGGAATGTTTCACTCTGTGGGAAACCTGGACTCTGTGGGCATTGGAGAGATGGTCTGAGTGAGTCCTTCCCTTGATACCACCTAAGGAAGGCATGGCCATGGACATGGTGGGCCTTGAGCTGGAAGGAGCCCGTGGCACCTGCTGAGAGCCCAAGTCTACGGAATCCACTCCAGCTCCCAGCTGTCGGAGCTTGTCTGCAGCCAAGGCCATCATCCGGAAGAGCTCCTGTCGGAGCTGAGGCACCGGCTGCACAGAGTCACTCTCAATGGCCACCCACTCCTTCAGGGTCTGTGAAGAGAGACAACAAGGGGGCAGTGAGGTGGGCACAAGAGCCCTCCAGCTGGGTAGGGGCTGATGGGAGACAAGCCCCTAAACACACTTTAGTTCATGGAATCCTGCTCATTAACACAGTGGCCTTCAAGAACAAGTGCAGGGAGTGACACGATATCCCAGTCAGAAAAGCTTGCCTCATGAGCGTGAGAACCCAAATTCAGTCCCTCAGGGTTGACTCTGTAAAACATAATCTGGACACTGAGGCCCACGCTTGTAATCCTAGAGCAGGTAAGGCAAAGACAGGTGGATCCCTGCGGCTCAATGGCCATCCAGCTGAGTCTATCTGAAAAATCAATAAGACTCTGGTTTCAAAACAAACTAACAACAAGACAAAACAAAAAAATGTCAAATTGGACAGCATCCGAGAAAAACATACACCATTAACCATTGGCTTACATGAGCGCGCACGCGCGCGCGCACACACACACACACACACACACACACACACACACGATAGATGACCAGAAGTATCTAATACCAAAGATGTGGTAGGGTAGGTTGAGAGAATGCAGTCAGCCCTTCCCTGCACTTTTGATCCTCTAGGCAGCATGGCCAGGACTAGAACTCCTCGATGTATGAGTTTAGTTACCCAACTTGCCTCAGCCTGTGGCATCACATGGTGCATCATATGGCTTTAGGGACTCCTCAACCTTTCGACCTCAGGTTTTCAGCTGCAAGGGAGAAGTGGGGCTGGAGAGTTGGCTCAGTGGTTAAGAGCAATTGCTGCTCTTGCAAAGGCCCCAGATTTGGTTTTCCACACCCTCATGATGACTCACAACTCCATGTAACTGCAGAGCATGGTATCTAGCACCCTCTTCTGGCTCCTCAGGGCTCCTGCACACACATGGTACACATACATTCAAACAGGCACACACACATGCAAATAAATTAATTAACTTTTTGGAAGAAGAGGATGCTCCCTAATTCCACATGGACAGGTGGCCACTGTGTCATAGACTCAGCAAACATTCACTAAGGATGCCCACAGTGGTGTGATTTGAAATCATCACCCATGGTCTATTGTCAGAGCCTGAATTGCTTAAGAAGAGACTTTTTTGGTACTGTGTAAACTGGAATAACTGAGAGCTTGTGAACTCTTCTTTCTACCTCAGAGGTGCTGGTATACGGGTGTGCCCCACCATGCCTGGCAGAGCGTCACTGATTTTAATGGGAAATGGCATCTGTTTTGGATAGCCGATCTTGACTGCTTCTTCCTTTAGTTTGATTTTTCTTTTGTGGTTAAAGCATCTACATTTTTTTTTTATCCCAGGGGAATTTACTCAAGGAATACTAGGTTTTACATTTTTCAGCTGGAGTGTGAAGGGAAGGAGCTGCTGACACTCCCCCGTAGTGAATGGGAAGTTTGAGGAGGCTGGAAGAGGGGTACTGTGCCTGAAAGCCCACACTGCCCTCGGCTCCCATGAGACATGGTGTCTCAACGGACTCTGGAGATTCTGCTTGAATTCTGGAAACCCAAGAGCTGGTTCTGTCGGGTAACCAGGACAGAGGATGAAGGATTACATGGAGGCCATGTCTAGAATATTGGCCTGGAAGTCAGCTTTGCGCCTTTCCCATGAAACACAAAGGCTTCGTCTCCTTAACATTGACCAACTGACTGATGCAACACTGGGGGTGTAGAACATGAAGTGTGGTGATACTAAAGGAGGCTCTAGATGAACCAGCTTGGTGTGGGAAGTCAAGCACACCAATGCTCACCGCACCTGCAGGCCTAGCACCTGGGATCTGGAGGCAGGAGGGTCAGGAACTTGGGTCATCCTCTCCTAGGTGATGAGGTCTGGCTAGCCTGGGCTACATGTGATGCTGTCTCAAAACAACAAACAAACAAAACAGCTGCCTGAATAGGTGTGGAGAAGGCTGTGGTCATGGGCCCAGATACTGACAGAGCACAGAGTGGACAAGAGACAGTAGAGAGGGGAGAGGGAAATTTCCCCGGTGAGACATAAGAACCTGCCCCTCCCGCTCCTTCCTCCCCTTCCCACCCTCCCCTCTTTCTCCTTTCCTCCCCCTCCTCCCTTCCCACTCCTTCTTTCCCCTCCCTCTCCTCCCCTCTTCCTCTTTCCTTCCCCTCCTCCCCTCTCAGTCCTCCTCCCTCCCCTCCCCTCCTCCTCTCCTCATGTGTAAAAGGTTCTCCTGTTCCATCTGGAATCTCTGGGAACCAGGGAATATTGTCAGGGAATATTGTCAGTGGGCTACTTGATGGACTAGAGTAATCATGATCTCCACAGAGGTGCTGGAACAGGGACGGAGGCCAGCCAGGGACAGAGAGTGTCTTTCCAGAAGCTAATTAAGGGTTTTCTAATGAGCACTGATTTTCTTTTCCTGAGGGAGGGTTTCATTGTGTGGCCTAGACCAGGCTGGCCTGGAACACAGATCTGCCGCCTCTGCTGCCCAAGGGCTGGAGTCTAAGACATGCACCACCACCTGGAGAGCACGGAGATGTTAACCTAAGAGGCCGTCACCATTGTGAGTGGAATCATATCGCCAGGCACGAGATCCCATACCTCCCAGTGAACTGACGCCACCGGGTTCTCAGAGGAGCAACTGGAGCATCACAGGCAGCTGGTCCTACCTGCACGAACTCGTCCTGGTGGAGGTCGATGTACTGGAAGAGCTTCTCCAGCAGCCCAGAGCGGGGAGGGGAGGAGGACATTCCCTGCCCAGCAGCAGCAGCGCCAAGAGAGATGAAGCCTGTGGCCAATGACAATCAAAATTAGCTCCAGGGCTGGGCTGTCCAACGCTTTCTTAGAGCTGCTCCCCAATGCTGCTGCTCGGTGAGAGTCCTGCTGAAGTGGCCAGAGACAGCTGAAGCAGAAGTGTGCATCTCCTCACAACTTTCCCCAATGCTTCCTTTTCAAAACGAATGGATTTTTAAAAACATATACACATATAAACTTTTTAAAGGCTAAATTTTAATTTAATTAATTAAAAATATTATGGGTATGGGTATTTTTCCTACAAGTTGGCTGTGTACCTAGAGCATGCCTGGTGCCCACGGAGGCCAGCAGGGAACATTGGGTACCATGATACTAGAGTTACAAAGGGTTGTGATCTGCCATATGGATGCTGGGAATTGAACCTGGGTCCTTTAGACGAGCAGTCAGTGCTCTTAACTACTGACCAATTGCTCCAGCATGTCATTTTCTTTGAAAACCTTATACATGAATACTTCACCTACATCACTCCCTCCCTTCCCTGCCTGCCCTCCATCACCTCCCATGTCCCCCAACTCTTCCTGGAAATTTCACATCCTCCTCCTCCATTCTCCTTCTCCCCTCCTCCATCCTCCTCCATCCTCCTCCTCCATCCTCCTCCTCCTCCTCTTCCTCCTCCATTCTCCTCTTCCATCCACCTTCTCATCCATCTTCCTTTTTCTCCTCCTCCATCCTCCTTCTTTTTCTTTTGTTTTTTTGAGACAGGTTTTTTTTTTTTTTTTTTTTTTTTTTTTTCTGTGTAGCCCTTGTTGTCCTGAAGCTCACTTTGTAGACCATGCTGGCCTGGAACACAGAGATCTGCCAGCCTCTGCCTCCCAAGTTTCCAATGCTGAGATTAAAGGCATGAACCATCAAAGGCTTATGCTATGCTGCTGCTTTTTTTTTTTTTTTTTTTTGAGCCAGGGTTTTTCTGTATATCCCTAGTTGTCCTGGAACTCATTCTATAGACCACACTATCCTCAAACTCAGAGATCCACCTGCCTCAGCCTTCCTTCTTTAATTATTATTGATACATTTATACACACACATAGGTAAGTACACACACGTCTTAGTGATTTTTATATTGCTGAGACAAAACACATTGACCAGGCAACTTAGAAAAGAAAGCATTTAATTTGGGGGCTCATGGTTCCAGGGATTTAGAGCCTGTGACAGTCATGGCAGGGAGCATGGCAACAGGCAGAGCAGGCATGGTGCTGGAACAGTAGCTGAGAGCTAACATCTGATCCTCAAGCAAGAGGAGAGAGAGAGAGAGAGCGAGAGCGCTAAATGAGAATGGCATGGGCTTTTGAAACAACAAAGTCCACCCTCATGTCGCGCCTCCTCCAACACAACCACAGGTCTTAGTCCTTCCCAGGCAGTTCCACCAACTCTGGTTCTCAACCTGTGGCCTGCAGCCCCTTTGGGGGTCAAGGACCCTTTCTTATTGGTTACCTAAGACCACCAGAAAACACAGATATTTACATTATGATTCATAGCAGTAGCAAAACTACAGTTATGAAGTAGCAATGGAAAAAGTTTATGGTTGGGGTCACCACAACGTGAGCAACTGTATTAAAGGTCTCAGCATTAGGAAGGTTGAGAACCGCTGCACTAACTGTTCTCACAGATAATATACCAGCCTATGGGGACCACCTCATCCAAACCACCACAGCCACAGCCACAGCCACACACACACACACACACACACGCTCACACACCTGTGTAATCCACAGAGTCTGTTTAGCATTGCTCAGGTGTACACATCTGGGGCTGACCACACGGGACTGGGCAACCTACATAAGAGCTTGTTCTGAAGGAAGCAGGTTCTCACACTCTCCACAGCCACCTGTGGCTCTTTATCTGTGTGTAGGACCTATGGAATTTCCCCTGTCTGTGTTGTCATGTCAGTTTGTGTCATTATGCCTATCTTATTCAAGCACCCATGTTGTTGTGAGTTCATGGGTACATTTCCCTGTCAGGTTTGGGAGACACTTTCTAGCAGCAGGTACCCTGCTCTCCTGGGTCTTACAGTCTCTTTCTCCTCTTCCTTAACATTTCCCAAGGCTTGGTTATACAGCTTGCATTGTAAATCTGTCAGTTGGGATTTGGCATTCCTTCTCTGCATTTTGACCAGCTGTGGATCTCTGTAATTGTCTTTCTCTGTTGCATAAAGAAGCTTCTTTGGGGATGGAGAAATGGATCAGCAGTTAAAAGCACTGTCTGCTCTTACGGAGGACCTGGGTTTGATTCCCAGCACTCACATGGCAGCTCATAACTGTCAGTAACTCCACTTCCAAGAGATCTGAAGCCCTCACACAGAACAGGCAAGGCAAAACACCAATACACATTAAAAAAAAAAAACTTAAAAATAAAGGCCTGGTGTGGTTGCGCATGCCTTTAATCCCAGTACTTGAGAGGCAGAGGCAGACAGATCTCTGAGTTTGAGGCCAGCCTGGTTTACAAAGCAAGCCCAGGACAGTGAGGACTACACAGAGAAACCCTGTCTTGAAAAACCAAAAACAAATTAATTGATTGATTAATTAATTGGTCAATCAATCAATTAATTAAGAGGAGAGAACAACACCTCTGTGTTGGTATTCGTATTTAGGCTGGGTATGGTGGCCCACCCCTGTAATCCCAGCCCTCTGGGAGCAGAGGCAGGAGGAGCGCTGTGAGGTCAAGGCCAGCCTGGTCTACAAAGCAAGTCCAGGAAAGCCAAGGCTACAGAGAGAAACCCTGTCTTGAAAAACCAAAAAGAATAAATATTTAGAACACAAAATTATATTTGCTTAATACAAATAATTACTGTTTCATTAATTAAAAAGAGAAAAGATGAGAATAGCACTTATCTGTGGGTATAAGAATAATTATTTAGAACACAGTTAGAAATCCCATTTGTTCGTAGCTCTCCTCTATCATCTAGGACCACTCTAATCTCAGGTAGCTGACTAGCATTACCAGGCATGGCTCTTTTCCCATCAAGGGGCCATGAGTCCGATTGCACAGCTGTCAGCCACTCTCAAGAGGAGGGTATCACTCTTGCATCATGAGGATGCCTTGGACCAGCCATCCTTGAAGTTCACAGGCTCTTCACCCTGGTGGGACGAGTGAGTACACTTTTCCCATGGGGGATGTGAGGTGGGGGAGGGAGGCTACCAGGTGAAGCCAAGCAGACGTGCATGGAAAACCTCATAATGCCTAAATCTTATTCAGAATGGTGGGGTTTCCTTCCCAGCTACTACAATTAGAGTGATTAAAAGAGAGAGAGAAGAAACTTAGCAAGTTTCCATGGTATAGTAACGCTGAGCAGCAGCCTGGGAGCATCCTCTGTTTCCGGTCTGTGTCTCTCAGCCTGCCACTCCCTGTATCCTTACTCTATGCTTTCCTCTTCTCCCTGGCCTCTACAGAGATCCTCTGCACAAACCATTGAGCCACTGATCCTCATCTTCTTTCCCAGTCTTCTAATCAGTCATCCCCACCCTCTGGCCACTCCTGGGGAATGATTCTACCCAGATGTCCTTGGAACTTTAGGGAAAAAAGTCCTCCTTGACCTGGACATGATCCCATGTCAAACTGAACAAGACCACACCTGGGTGACACAATTAGAACCTGTCTAAAGCATAATAAAATAAAACAAGACACAACTCAGCAAGGGTGCCAAGATATTACAAATGAGGAAAAAACAATACAGTGTTTTATATGACTAGTGCCTGAGATCAGACAGTAAGTGCTGGTGGGGCTTTGCAGAAGCTGGCACCATCATAGGCTGCTGGTAGAAATTGTTGGTCCTGCAAGATGGCTTAGCGACTAAAGGCTCTTCCCACAGAGTCTGACAATCTGAGTTTGAGTCCCTGGACCCACACAAAACAGAAAACAAAACCAAAACAACAAAAATCCAACCCATTCCCAATCCTCTGACCTACACACACACACACACACACACACACACACACACACACACACACACA